GAGAGGTCACGGAAACCTTTCCAATGTATGTTAAAAATTAATAACAGTTAGATATTACATATAATTTGGAACTAAAACAAAGAGTTGCATGTTTTATTGGTGCAAATGAGTTGTGGTGATAATTTGTACAACATTTGCAACTGCTTTTTATCACTTAATTAGAAGCACCACAAAATTAAATAGTGTCATCTGTTACAGGGACTACTGAACAGATATTTAGAAGCTGATTTTAAAAGGCAAAGTATTGAAAATAAAAATAAAACTCTGTAAAAATTAGCATTATTTACAACACTATAAGTGTGTCCTATCAGGTAATGAAAAATTCTACACATACTTGTGGTCTTCATGCTCACTTGAACACTTGGACCAAATACAGGAAATACATCATATAAGTAGTCAATTGGTCAAGTGCAAAGATCGCAAGTGCAGGTATTTGGACAAGGGGTGTGGCTCTTCAGGGCTGACACTGGCCACGCCTGCTCTAGACAGCGTTAGCCTTCTCAGTTGCTTAAGCTTCTCACACAGCACATAGGAACACAGCTAAAAGTATCCCAATATGTTGGACCTTTTATTGAAAGTAGCCTACTTTTACCTGAGACATGCCTTCGCAACACCCGTATGAGCTGTGTTTGTGATGCTTGAGTTGGGGGAGGCACGACTTGTGAAATTTTTTTCACAAAAACATTTGCAAGGTTGTTTGAAAATATGCTTTATTTTTGTAAATTCGCTAAGTGACACTTGTGTCGCAGAAAAAACATACTTCAGCTTAAAGGAGAAGCTCAATCCAGAAAGATCTGAGGGGTTCTGTGACTTCTGTGATGAAAGAAAGCAGAAAGCCGTGAAGTCCTGCCTGACGTGTCAAAGCTCTTACTGTGAGACTCACCTGGAGCCTCATCTTAGACTCCCACGTCTAAAGAAACACACACTGATCAACGCTGTGGAAAATCTGGAGGATTATATATGCCAGAAACACGAGAGACCTCTGGAGCTGTTCTGCAGAGATGATCAGACGTGTGTGTGTCTGTCCTGCACTGAAGGAGACCACAGGACTCACAACACTGTTCCTATAGAGGAGGAGAGTCAAGAGAAGAAGGCAAGAGATACAAACAAAACACTATAAAGATCCCATGAAATACATCTTTCCTGTGTGTTGACATGTTAAAGAACATGTCCCTTTTAAAAATCCAAAAGTATTTCACTACATCTGTTAAAAGCTGATTTTGTGAATTTTGTTACCCAGCATATGTTACCCTTAAAAATGTCAGACATGGACTAAAAGATACAAAACAACCAGCTCATGTTGTCTTTAAATGGTTTTCAAAATCAATATTCAAATAAGACTTTTATCAGAAGATGGAAAGCTAAATTCAGTCATAAATGTGTTCTTCTGTTTATGCAGAATCAGCTGGATAAGAAAAAGACAGATGTGCAACAGATGATCCAGGACAGAATGAAGAAGATTCAAGAAATCCAGCACTCAGTAGAGCTGAGAAAAGTGAGTGGAAGTTAAGACAATGTAAAATTGACTATGCATTATAATACACTGCTCAAAAAATTAAGGGAACACTTAAATCACACATTGGATGTCAGTTAATGGAAGGGAGGAAAATGTTCTGCAACGTAAGATCACCTGGGCCGACATCTGGAAAGCAGACTTCTATAATATCAAGTTCTTAGTCCAAACTGCCTACGATGTCCTACCAAGTCCAGCAAACTTCCATGTCTGGGGCAAAGTCGAGACACCTGTCTCTTTTGTTCAGGAAGGGGAGTCCTTGGAACCTTAGTAGCTTAGTAGGGAGTCCAGGAACCTTAGTAGCTGCTCAAAAGCCCTTGGAGATGGATGCTATCGCTGGCGCCACGACCAGGTGCTTAAGGCAGTTGCTGAGAGCAAAGGCACAGCCATCAATTCCATCAAGGTCCACCACAAGCCAAAGACCACCAAGCTTCTCAGAGCTGGAACGAAAGCCCATTCACAACCGAGATCAAAGTCTGGCCTCCTCACTACTGCTGCTGACTGGCAACTGGAGGTGGATCTTGGCAGATCCTAACCAGAATAATAACCACACAGCTTCGTCTAGACAGGATTAATGTCGCAGATTCCACCAAGCAATTGCTCTTGCTGGAGCGCACTGTGCCTTGGGAAGAGCACATGGACGAGGCCAGTGAGAGGAAGTGTGCCAAGTACCAGGAGATAGTTGAAGAATGCAGAAGGCAGGGCTGGCAAACTCACTGAGAGCCTCTGGAGGTGGGCTGCAGAGGATTTGCTGGGCGATCGCTCTGCAAAGTGTTTCACCAGTGGCATTCCGTCCATATAAGCTGCGAATGCTCCACATACCCAGGCCATCTGAGAGAATGAATTTGTGGGTTAATTAATAAAAACTTGATTTGATCCCTTGTTATTTGAGATGTAACTTTAAGCTTAATAAAGTGTTGGGAATAAGTACGTCAAATTATGACAAGTAATTTTCTGTAAATCTGTGCCAGTTATAAAAGCTTAAGGGCAAGTGGATTCACAGCAGCTTTGGCGCCTGCGCTCTATTGCTGTGACTCGTCAAGATTATAGCGCATTCTCAGTGGTTTGCTGGCATGCGTGTGATTTGATGCACGAGGTAAGCTTTCTGCGAAACGCTCGCCCAAGAGGAAAAATGCGCTATTGCTGCCAGATCTGGATTGCCGAAAATCACATTGTTTGATGCAAAACCATTTTGACTAAATCAAATAAAAAACATAGTAACTATATTTTCATACTTTCTTAAGCAAAAAATTTGGAAAGTGCACTGAAAACAAATCTTCCCACATTTTAGGTCATAGACAATATATGTTGAAGATATACAGGTGCATCTCAGTAAATTAGAATGTCGTGGAAAAGTTACTTTATTTCAGTAATTCAACTCAAATTGTGAAACTCGTGTATTAAATAAATTCAATGCACACAGACTGAAGTAGTTTAAGTCTTTGGTTCTTTTAATTGTGATGATTTTGGCTCACATTTAACAAAAACCCACCAATTCACTATCTATATCAGTATAAAAATGACTTACCATATAATCACAATTAAAAGAACCATAGACTTACACTACTTCAGTCTGTGTGCACTGAATTTATTTAATACACGAGTTTCACAATTTGAGTTGAATTACTGAAATAAATGAAATTTTCCAAGACATTCTAATTTATTGAGATGCACCTGTAGGTTATTTAGCAACATGGCTGAGTAAACTAATAAAATTATAAAATATAAAAAAAAAAAAAGTTTATAAATTTCATATAAAATCCCCACCCCCTGAATACTGCGTGTCATTACGTAACAACGTGTAAACGTTATTTAGTGGTTTTTACTTGGAAAACCAACTATATTTTTTTCTAGCATTCGAATAATGGATAAACCTAAAATGATAGAAGAAGGATTGGAGATGAATTTCATTTACAAATAAGGTAGGAAATGCGCATACTTTTAAAACGACACCTGCCACAGTTTTTCTTATTTGTCCTCTGTAATCCCTCTTTGAGTGTATCCTAAAAGCCGATGAGGAGGGAGTAGGGATGGGCGATATGGCCAAAAAAATGTATCACGAAAATTTCTGGTATTTATTGCGATAACGATATCAATGACGATATCCAAACACCAGCCTTTGCATAAATAATTTTCTTCTGTAAAATAGCAGATTATGTTATGTTTAAGTTGTGTTCCAGTAACTGTGCTGAAAAACATCACATTACAACTACACATTTTTAAAAACAGATCAGGTTTAAAATGTAAACACAGATTCTGTATTTATTTATACTCTCATGGTGCAAACAGTGGCAAAAATAGTGCAAACAGCCCTAATAGTTGCAAAAAGTGCAACTGCAAATAAATCCTAATAAAGCAACAAATTACACTAAAGTAACCTGATAAATTAAAGACGTTCACCGTGAAACAGTCAATGACACACTCTTAGAATGTAAAAAAAAATACGTATGTGGAACATGCTACCAACAATTAGATAGTCTAAGTTTTCAACACTCTTGTCTCATGGAACAAATTGTAAAAATAGTGCAAACATTGTATCAAAAAGTAACGATCCCAACTATGTCTTCAGTTAGTTTACAAAACACAAAATGTGTTTTAGTTAGTGCAAAACACACATAACAAATGAAGGGATGCACAAGTACTTTTTCGCTAAACGACTGATGTTAGGGAAATTCACCTTGTGTACCTTCCACCACCTAAGGGGATTGCTTTCACCATCTGCAAGTGGCCCATGCAAGTAGTTGTTTAATTCAGCCTCAGTTTTCTCTGTTTCAGAAACACTGGTCATCTCAGCGACTGGTTTCTTTAAAAAACTTCCAAGACTCTTCCTCTGCCTTTTAGATGCACTCTGAGCTTCTATGGCCTTCTCTTGCTCAAGCATCCGCTGAATCATCTTCTGCCTTGATCCCCATCATGTTGCCGATTCAGTCACAAGTTTGTGTGGAGGAAGGCCAAGTTCTACTTGAGCATCTTTGAGTGCTCACTGCTTTTTCCAGCTGTGCGAAAAAACACTGACAATCTTCTTACAAACTCCCACAGCTCTGTCAATCCTGATATCCCTCATGCTTCTCTCTGCAAAACAACAATAAAATAATACAATAAAAAACAAACAAAAACAAAAAAGTAAAAAGAAAAAGAATGAGAGTTCAGTTAGAATTAAAATAATAGATTAAACTAAAAAAATTATTTAACTTTTTTTTTTTTAATTTAATCTTAAATGCACATAATATATGTGACCCTGGAGCACAAAACCAGTCTTAAATCGCTGGGGTATATTTGTAGCAATAGCCAAAAATACATTGTATGGGTCAAAATTATAGATTTTTCTTCTATGCCAAAAATCATTAGGATATTAAGTAAAGATCATGTTCCATGAAGATATTTTGTAAATTTCCTAC